TGCCAGCTTCCTGGGTCCTCAGTTTGGAGTCATGGTCTCAGCTTTGACTCTAAAGTCAAGAGCTTCGTTCTCTGCTTCTCAGACGTTTAGGTTTCTGCAACTGATCCATAATCTCCGCAATCATATTTTCATTTTCAATTTTCTCCTCATGGTTTTTTATCCTTTTTTCTTTTTTTGATAACTCTGGACTATGCCCCTCGTAGCACAGATTCTTACCTACGTGTGACTAAATAAATTCTGAACCATCCTCCGTCTCATATGATGCTTTGTTTTATTCTACAGAATTGCTGCTATGGAATTTACACACATATTGCATGCTATACGTAACATCCAATTTGATTCTGAAAACAGATGCTCGTGTGTTATTACCTCAATTTTTCAGCTGAGAACAATTTAAGGTGTGATTTGATGTAGCTAATAAAGGACAGACTCAGGTCCAATCTGCGATCTTCTCTTTCTGCCGAAGCACACTCCTATTTAACTCTCAGTAATGTAGAAATGATATTGGGATTCAGTAAGAGCAAGACATGCACTGAGTTCATTGAACATGGGCGGTATAATCTCTCATATTTGCAGATGACATTTCTGTTCTGTTCACAAAGCTCTTCCCAAATGAGTTTTCCACACCTCAGTGAGCAACAGATACATGGTATGAAAACGGGGACTGCATTTAATAGCTCCCCTGAATGTGGATCTCGTTTCCTCTCTGTCTCTGACCAGCTTTTTATTCAATTAATCTGCATCAAATGTTTGTGAGAATGCATGGTGTCCCATGAAAGAGAGTCTCATTTGGGGATTTATATCATGTAAATAACATTCTTATATGGCTTCCTTCTCCTGAATACCTGTTGACAAAGCAAAATGAAATTAAGTTATTTCCTCTAAAATGTGGACAATGCATTAAGCCACATTAAGTCAGATTGTCTGTCAAATCAAAATGTTATTAGGAAAATTAAGTAAAACAAATTTGGGGATTGAAGGACTATCCGATGGGCACGTAAGGCTTTGCACAAACCATAAGTTCTGTGCCGACTAAAGGTAGAAAACAACCTTGTGTGTTTTGTGAGGCAAATAGGAAGCGCCTAAAGAAAACAATTCTTCTGATTTCCAGGGAAATCAGTAGAATTTAAGAAGGAGGAAAAGTGGCAGAACTTTCTCATTCGTGGAAATCATGATAGATGGAAGACTGGTACTTTTGTTCCTGAACTGATGATGCAACCCAAGTATTCAGTCATGGAACGATTGATTGATACTGGCTCTGAGAGAATTAGAAAACTTAGGGACCCGGGCCACCATCGTGGGACCTCCTACCAGCATGGGACGGGTAAAAATACCTCTGATGAGCTAACAACGTATGTTTCCAAGACAGATGCCAACTTCTGAGGTGGTGTATCTAGAATGCTCTGAAGACTCAGCTAAGAGACAAAAGTCACTGACTGTGATAGTCATTGTGTGATGGCGTAAAGAAGGTGAAGAACTATCACATTCTTTTGATCAACATCAGTTCTGCAAGATGAGTAACTTCGGCAGATCTAGTGTACAACAACGTGACTATAGTTAACAAAAATGTTTTATTGTATACAAGAAATTTGCTAAGAAGGTAGATCTGAGCTGTTCACACCATAGAAGTGAAAAGGAAACTGTAACTATGTCAGCTAAGGAATATATTATGATTTAACAATAAATACATATATCTTGAAACAACACCTTATACACTTTAGATATACACAATTTTTATTTTTATTTGTCAATTGGGTCTCAATAAAGCTAGTAAAATAGAAGTCAATCTATTTAATTATTATTAATGTTTTCTTATCTTCAACATTAAAACTAGAAGTTCTATGGACATAAAAACAATTAATATGTCCTAGGTTGCCTACTATTTCATGGGTATTGACTAAATGCCTTATGGATATTATCATTAATTCTTGAGGAAACATTCAAAGTAGGTGTTAATGTTCCCACTGTAGAGATGAGAAATTTCAGGCTGAGAGAGTAAGTGTAGTATCAGAGTTTGGTTTTCCCATAACAAACTCTGAGGAAAAGATTCCAGTTTTCACTGGAATAAACTTTCACTGAAATAAACTTTCGTAGTTTATTCAAAAGTTCGAATCACAACAGTAGATGCTGGAGAAGTGATAAAGAAAAGGTTACACTAATAAATTGGTATCACAGTGACCAATTAAGCTTAAAAGAAAAAAATATTGTCAGAAATGATGAAAAAAAAGAAATTAGAATTTTCCTGCTTCAGGAAGGACAAATTTAGAGTCTTCATAAATCAACTCTCCAGAATCACTGGTTGAATGATTTCTCTGTGTGACATGCACAGGTAACTTGACTTTCTCCAGTTGCAATACAAGAGCCCTTAGGCACAGAGATGCAGATTCTGGCAAACGCATATTGGTCTGAGTCCACTAAGATCCAAGATACAGGGGTGGAATGATGAAATCTTAGCTACAATCTACCATTTGCTCCACACAGATCCAATCTTTGCTTCTTAAATGTGGTAAGCAACCACAAACTCTAGAAGAAGGAAGACGAGGAGGAGAGGAAGAGGAGAAAGAGGAAGAACAGAAGATGAGAGGA